AATTTTTAGACATCAAAATACAACTTGCACAAGAAAAAATGTCAAAATTGATCAAAGGTACACCACCTTCCCCTACTGAATGAATTAATCTGTGCTCTTTTTATCCTTCATTTTATCCATTTTAAAAACCAAATTAAACTCGAAGAGAATTGAACGTGATTAAAATGGACCGAAACGTTTGCGTATAATGTAACTTCCTCTGCCGATTTCAATTTATTTTCAATTACTTAGCAAAAAATACAGAAAAAATTAAAATTACTAAATAAATATTAATAAAATAACTTCCACACGTTAATATATATATTTATAGTAATAAATATTTAACCCACCGTTTTAATTAATTTATTCTTATTTGATTTTGATATCTCATAATATTGAATAAATAATCACTTTATTAAAATAAATGAAGTTTACAGATTGGTTTATGTTTCTGGGCGTAATTGGTTTTTTCACGATTGTTTGATTTATGGGAGATCGCGATAACGACCGCGAGAATGTCTGCTCAGACATTTATACCAGACCAGATAACACATGCGAATGACGTCAAATGAATCGTAAGCTAGCTTCCGTCCGTTGACCCAGCATGCAAAATGTCTTGAATCATTCGAAGGACTATTTGGCCAAAATTTGCAGGCAATTAACGAATAGGAAGATGATAGGCTGACACTGCAATCTCTTATCTCTTTGACACTTAAAATATTCAGCTAATATTCGTACTAAATGTTATTTCAAAATTTTTCAATTTAATTTATATAAATGTTTAATATAAAATTTTAATTATTTGGTGTAATAATTATTTAATGTTTTCACGAATTGAGTCTTTATTAAAGTAGATAAAGTTTATCCCGCAACTAATCTTCATTTTATCTCCGCGATACGTAACTGAAGAGACCTCGTAGATTATGGCGTACAGATTGATAAAGAAACATATATTTCGGTGCTCTGAGATAACATTTGGCATAGTGACGTCAAATATGTACGCAAATTCCCTATTCCTTCCCGTTGACCCGTTTCATCGACGTTAGCAATCTTATATTCCCGCATGCTTTCAATTGTATATGGTGTTACAGAAAAACAGCATTCACTTTCTCTTTCTGAGTAGAATATTTAACATATGTAATATATGAAACAATAAAGTATTTTTTTAATTTTCTTTCTGTAGTAATGTAGTAAATAAATGTTAAGGAAAAGAGAAAAAGAAAGAAAAACTTTTTTTAAATGCTAATTAATCAAATATCTATAATAAATTTCTTTTAAAAATAAATAAAAACTTGAGTGATAAAATATCTTCAAGAAATAAAAATCAAAAGTAATTTTCTAAATAGATACAGAAAAGAATTAAGTATAAAATACACCACTATTAGATATTCTTTTTTAATAAATAATAGATTCAATAATGAAATGTTTAAGCAGACAGCGAATTAAATAGAAGTAAATTTCTCTTATGAAATTCGTCTTTCTCTGCCTTAATAAACTCAGTATCGATTTTCTTTCAAGGAAAATTTGATCAACAGTTTAATGGGAAGACTGTTAAGACAGGTTGAATTAAGCTTTGGAAGTGCAAATTGGTAATACTATCTTCGATTAATTGAAAGTAAACTTTATTTAAAAGTAAACTTTATTTAATATTTTAATACTTTCGAAAAATGGAAAAACTGGTATTTGTCCGCAAGGTAAATAAAGAAAAATTTAATCTAAATTTTCAAGATTTTATAAAAATTATTTTTCGAATATTTTTCTTTTTCTCCCTTCCTTTCTTTTTCGTTCTCTCTCATTTTTCATTTAAAAATAATACTGAGTATAAATCCATCTCGTATTACATTTGCTCATTCGTGTATTTGTAACCGATAGCGGCACGCGGTCCATAAATCCCGCGAGTACAAATTATTGTACTAGCATTATCGTATTAAGTATTATACGAGCGTCGATTGAAATTGACATCCATTTGCCAGAGCAGTTCAGTGCGAGCTCAGCGCTTCCCCGAAGAGCTCTGCCATCTTTCACCGCGTTTATATTTCGAAGAAATTTTAATTTAGGGCAATCAGTTTTATTACGGCATATAAATAAAGAAAAATGCAAATTGTGCACCAACATTTTTCAGAAAGACAAATCGGATTTACGGTGTTTTGCAGAATTTAGTTCGCGTATAATAAGCGATTAAATGTGAAATGATAAAAAAAAATTAAAAAGCTTTTATTTATTAAAAATAATATAATATAATCAAATTATATAAATTACAAATATTTTGAATTAATTTAGCAATAAACAATTAATTCTGTATTTATAAGTGTTAGTGTGACGCAGTTTTTATAATTACTACAATTAAATTGATATTTATATTTAAAATATCAATGAAAGAATTAGGGGAAAATATGATACAGGTAAATTTAAAATTAATAGTTGAAACTAACAAAATAAAAGAGAAGAATTTTATAATTCTAAATATAATTGAGGAGTAGACTTTCAAAATGCGTTTTGTCCAAAATTTGTAAGTTTCAGAAAACGAGAAAGAAAGAAACTCCGCACACAAGAAAATTGCGCACTTTACAGAAAATAATAATATGCATCAGTAGGATGTGAAATATTAAACAAAATTTCTAAACAATTGCTAAAAATTTTATACAAATGCATTTTGTTTGTCTCTAGTTAAAAAACATAATGCACTTCGAAATGTCTATGTTTTTTCAGCATATAAATTAACGATAAAAAAATGCTTTCTGAATCATCTCAGAGTAGCTTATAATATGAGCAGTACGCCATCTCTGACTAAACAAATGAAATTTTGGACAAAATGCATTTTGAAAATCTGCTCCTCAATTTTATAATATTAAAGATTAATGTAATTCCAAAATATGCAATAATTAATAAATTGTTCAGTCAATAACTTCTTAATAATAATAATAATTTTATCGGCAGTGGGAGAGCTCGGAGTCGGACTTCTCGGACACTGAGGACTCAAATGAGTTAGGGGCCAACGTGGGCCCCGAGCGCACCACGATGGACACTGTAGATAGTGTCAACAAACGGCAAGCTACTCGTGTCTTCAAGAAGTCCAGTCTCAATGGCAAGATCACGGTTTATCTTGGCAAGAGAGATTTCGTCGATCACATCACACATGTTGATCCTATTGGCACGTATCCTAAAAGTTTGAAAGCACGTACAATTAATCAATGTGCTTTCAAGCAAAAATAATATATAGATTCTTGTAGATATAGAGCGTTTTATTTTTGTATCCTGAATTCATTTTTTAAGTTATACTCACATCTTATGAAACATCCATTGTATATAAATTTATTACGTCTATATACATAGATATAGTTTCTTAATATAACGATTTTATGCAAATAAGTCTTTTCCTATAAGAATTTTATGTTAAAAGATATTTTTGCAATTTCAGATGGGGTCGTCCTGATCGATCCTGACTACATAAAAGATCGAAAAGTGTTCGGTCATGTTCTCGCAGCGTTTAAATACGGCAGAGAGGATCTGGATGTTCTTGGGCTGACCTTCCGTAAGGACCTCTATTTAGCAGCAGAACAGATTTATCCAGTGTTGCAAGGAACTCAGCCTCCCAGGGAACTGACGCGATTACAAGAGAGATTGATCAAAAAACTGGGCAACAATGCGTATCCCTTTTACTTCGAGTTACCACCTCACTGCCCCGCTTCGGTTACTTTGCAACCGGCACCAGGTGATACTGGCAAACCCTGCGGTGTCGACTACGAACTGAAAGCGTTCGTAGGTGAGACGCAAGATGATAAACCACATAAACGGTACGAATCTTAATACAAAATAAAAGAAGTTAGTCTTTCAAAAGAAAGAAACTTCTTCTCACATTCAGAATAAAATAAATTTTCACTAAAGAGAACCGATACGAAAGAGTTTCATCTTTTTTCTTAACTCGGGAGTAATCATCTAATAATTCTTTTTTAAGTGAACGATCACCTGGAATGAATCTATACTCCAATTAAAATCACTGTTATTAACAATATATTCTATATTACAGATTGTTTTTCAATTTAATAGCATTTGAAAACATTATGAATATGGATTTATTCACAATTTTCTGAAAAAAGTAATTAAAAACCAAACAAACATTAAACAGAATAAATATTTTTATATTAGTTAATCATTTAAAAAACAGCAATTAATTTTTTTTTTTAATTAAATGTTGAATCGTAATTAAATATTGAATTTGATTCATAGGAGCTGCGTGAGGCTGGCGATCAGGAAAATTATGTACGCGCCATCGAAACAAGGAGAACAGCCTTCAGTGGAGGTCAGCAAGGAGTTCATGATGTCCCCGAACAAATTACATCTGGAAGCCTCCCTCGATAAGGAGCTCTATCATCATGGCGAAAACATAGCTGTGAACGTGCACATAGCGAACAATAGCAACCGGACTGTGAAAAAGATAAAAGTGTCAGTTAGGCAGTTCGCAGACATCTGTCTGTTTTCCACGGCGCAGTACAAATGCACCGTCGCCGAGGCCGAAAGCGAGTGAGTATTCCTTAACTTATTTAATTATTTTGTTGTCGAAAGATGAAGATATCGTACACCAATAAAAGACGCGTTGTAATAAACATGAGGTAATGTGATTTAAAGAGTTGTTTTGAGAATTTCATGAAAGCTGAATTTTCATGAAATGTTACAAATGTTTTTTAAGGCTCCTGTTTACTCACCATTATTCTCTCAGATTGTAACGTCAGAAACGAGAAAATATACATAATAAAAATTCTTACAAAATATATTAATATGAAAATATAAATGTTATTTTATTGAAAAATGTTTCTGTTCAAATTTAATTTACAAGGATCCTTATTATTTTCTCGCTCTTCTGATATCCTGTTGAGATAGTATGATGAGTGAACAATGACCTTAACTCTGATGTACCTCTTAGTAGTTTTATGAATCAAATTTCTTTAATTAAATTTCGCAAAGAGAAAATACATGTCCAACACCAAGTAAAAATTTCTTCAACTTATAAATTACGAATATTCTCAAGAACCGCTTTTTAACCACATAAAAATAGTCTTTAGTTGAAGTAAACAGTTTTTAGAAAGCTATTAGCATCAAACTGTTTATAATCTAGGCGATAAATCTTTTTAACGATCTACATATAATCTAAGCATTGTTAGAAATACGATAGATATATGTATATATGTATATTTATAAGATTTCGGGACTCGATGGGTCTCTGACGATCGTGATCAGCTTGAAAAACTTTGCATCAAAGTTTTTTAGCGATTAAATATACGGTGGGCGCGATAACACGCGATAAACAGAACTGTGACGAGCAGGAAAATAAAATTATTGCACTGGCAGTATAGGGGTAGCGCCAGGATTCACCCTGAGTAAGGTGTTTTCTCTAAGGCCGACGCTTGCCGAGAATAAAGACAAGCGGGGTCTTGCTCTAGATGGTCAGCTTAAACACGAGGACACCAATCTCGCGTCTAGTACAATGTGAGTGCGAGATTAAGAGCTCGCTGTTTCCCTCATTACTCTCTCACCTCTTCTGCCGGGTACTAAGGAAAAAAAAGAGATGACGGAGGCTGGAAACCGGCCAAATGGTTCACTGACTATAATCGTGACGATATCTCGTGGCAAATATCCGGATTTTATAGAGACTCATCATGCTTAAGTGTCGTAAGACGAAGCGTAGTAGCAACATGCTATCAACTTTTTTTAAGACAGGTTTATAAAGTTATTGAGAGAAAAACAAAACTTGATGAAAGACTGGCTTGTGGTTAAAACAAGTCAATCTTTTAACAAATTAGATGAAATTAATCTTGAAAGTCTTTCAGACCTCTATAATAATAAAAAACTAGATAAAAAATTAAGTGTTTCAGACACATAAAGTAATGTAAATTAAAAATTACTTTGTTTTTTATTATCTTAATAAAAAAGATGACAAAATTGAGAAATATTTTGGAACAAGCTCGTCGCCAGCCTCCTTTTTCATTCCTTTTTTTTTGTATTAATGTATAAAGTAATAAATGGAATGACAGCATTTTCTTGGTGATTTTGTGCTGGGGATTTTTAACGCGGTGGCCTGTAATCACGTATGGATCTCGATCGGTGGTGGTCTCATTTCCTCTGCAAAGCTCCCTCTCTCTCTTCCTCTCTCTATCTCTACACACACATAGATATTCCCCCTCTCTCTCTCTCCCCCTCTCCTCCCTTTTCTCTTCCTTTCCTCTATTAAGATATATATTTTTAGATTCTATATATTTTTTTTCCAACTGAAATATATTTTACAAATTCTTAAAGTGAATTTTTCTGCATTAATATATAACCATAAATGTTTCACATCCTACATAACCCTTTCAGGCACACAATATTGTAAGTTCTCGTCCTGTTCTCGTCTTTCGCAGTCTGTATCATAGCGTAAGGCACAAGCTGATATATCGTACTACCATGATACTACCAGAAAACACAATTAATGTCATTTGTTTATATACTATCGTACTTTAATTAACTATAAATTTTTCGATTAAAACTGGAATCTACGAAACTCCTCTCGGCTCAGATGCGCAGAAATATTACAATTAGTATAATGATTATCTATGAAATTATTAGAAAAATAAATAATAATCAAGATATTGATTAATACCTTGATTATTATCTATTATTTTCATCAAATAAGTTTTATGTACTTAAAGATAATATTAACAAATTTATTTGGAAAGCGTATATATCTGAATATTTTTTTCTTCTTTAATGTAATATATGTAAATTAATATACTGAATATTAGAAATATTAATTAAGAACGGACATTATAAATATCTTGTAAAAAATGGTGGCGATATGTTTCGCGAATTGATCAATGTGAAATCTCGGTCCGCACGTAGCAGCACATTAACACTCATGCTGGTTGTATGTTCAAATGTCAGGGAGGGATGCCCGGTGGGTCCGGGTTTCACGCTGAGCAAGGTGTTCACCTTGACACCCCTTCTGGCCAACAACAAAGATAAATGGGGGCTCGCCCTCGACGGCCAACTCAAACACGAGGACACCAATTTGGCGTCCAGCACCCTGTAAGGACGCGATGCCTGAAATTGAGCCTGCGACACATGCAGACACACGTCTAGATATTGATACGCCGTACCGCGTTTCGCTCGCGCATTTAGCGCCGAGAAAGATAATATCCGCAAAATTTTCCCTCGCAAATTGCGAAAGTTTGACTCCGTAGTTTGACATAGTGTTTCCTAAACTTTTGACAGCTCGACAGATACGTAGCAGTTGAATAACAGAAGAGATCCTGACTATTAAATGTTAAGCACGTGTTATAAAATGTTTTCTAATAAAAGATGAAAATACTATTTAACGAATAAATTTAACAAATAAATTTATGTAATAAAATATATTTCTATGAAAAGTTCCCGTAATATTGAAGTATTATTGAAGCATATTATATGATTGTAAGTTATTAAAAATTATAAAAAATTTTTTTTTTTCAAATAGTATTTTTGAAAAGTACATAAACATAAATTACTGAAATAAAAAACTAATGAAACACTGAAATTCAACACGGGCAGGGAAATTTGCCAGACGAGCGCTAAATGCAGGACGAGAATGCGGACGGTGTTTGTTACACACGTGTCATTCACGCACGCAACGCGCAGCCGAGTACGCCTTTGGGAATTTCTCATTTTCGTGCGCAACGCTTTCCACACAACGGCCGGAAAATACATGTTGGCTGCCTGCAACGAAGCTTTTCTCAACGATCGATCGATCGAGATGGCGAGCGACTGGCTCTATCATTGTTGAACGACGTGTAATTCTGTTTTTGCGAGATTCGCACTCAAATTCACTGGGAATCGTTTCTTCCCACGCATCCTGGATTTCTTAAATCCAAATCCATAGATATCAATATAAACGAAGATTTTGGGATCAACAGGTTTTTTAGGATTTTAATGTTTAAAGAATAGTTCCATAAACTTTGATATCTATGGATTCTAAGATCAAAGTGCTTTAACCCTTTCGATACCATTTTCTTGACTTTTTTTTATACATTGACAAAGTTCCAAAATTAAAATCAAATTACAATTTTAATATTCAGCATTGCCATGGCATTAAAAAAAATAAATCTTATAATTTTTGTGACAAAACGCATATATTGGCACGTTTTATCTTTTTGAATTACTAAAACTAAACTTGGCAACTTTAACACGTATTTCATTGATTTGTAGAGGAAGAAATCCTATCCTTTCTGTTATCTTCTTTTTAAGCCGACTAAAACTTTTTGAATTTTCGCAGAGAATTTTTAGCTAACATATATTCTCCAATGGTACCGAAAGGATTAAGAAACTGCGATCTAGGAGATTTAGGATGCAAGATACCTAAAGCAAAAGTTTAAACCGATATCCTATCCTCCTTCTGCTTGTGCTCGTAAAAACATGGCATCGCCACCGCATTGTATCTGCAGTAAAATTGCATGGACAAATTAGAAATTGTTCATTTTTGCTGCGAAGCTGTAGTATCATGGATAGCTTGATCAAAAGATATGTACGTGATTACTGCTTTATATAAATGTTTAAATAAATAGTATTGTGAATGTATAACATTCTTGTAAGTGTATATAAATTACCGCTTGCTTCTATCTATTTACGACTAATAAAGTTAATTTACAATTCTCTTTCTGTGTTGCTTCCGTTCGTTGCATGACGCTATCATACAATTAACTTTGCATGAGCTTTTGTGTAGCGTTTATATTAATAGGTTATAATGCATTATAATGACAACAATAAATATAATTCGCAGTGTGGTTGACCCGGCGCAGCGTGAAAACCTCGGCATAATTGTCCAGTACAAAGTTAAAGTCAAACTCTGCCTCGGCGCTCTAGGAGGGTAAGTATTATTACCCATTTACCACGTGGACTGCTAAGGGGATAACCTAAAGCGCAATAATAATTTTTTATATAAATATAACAGCTATGAAAAGGACATTGCTAAGTGAATACGTCGCTTTTAGATTCAACTTTGAATCACTTTGAATTTTAACTGACACACTGTTAAATATCAAAGAAACAATGACGATCCAATCCCTTGAGTTAAACAATATTTTGTTATTTTCAACTTCCATATGTGTGTCAAAATGTAAAACAATTTATTTCTGTGATAAGTTTGAAGTAAATAACGTATATATTAATGTATGCCATTAATAAGTAATAAATTAAATTTGAGTCAAATTTAATAAATTTTCTTCAGAGATAAATTGTTTAATTCTATTGCTTTAGTTAAATTTACGACATATTGAGTAGGAACAATAGCGACTTATAGAAATGATTGAGAATAACTCAAATTTGGTATAATTCAACGCTGTAAATTTAACAGCAATATTCTAAGATTTTTTTATATATAAAGCCACGAATTTAATATATTTCTATTCAATATTATTATTATTATTATTATATTCTAATTACAGCGAATTAGTTGCGGAACTGCCCTTCATTCTGATGCATCCCAAACCGGAAGAAGAGGAACCAGTGCCGTCCACAGCACGACCAAGCCCTACGCACAAAACTGACAGCGGGGAAGTTCCGCTTGATACAAACCTCATCCAATTGGACACGTAAGTAATTCAAACAAATTTTAATACGATTAACTTTTTAATAAAGAATTTAAAAATCACAATTATCAGACTAATAAAATCTTATCTGAAATTTTTATATGTATATGTATGTATATATGAATAATTATTAATTTTTTTAAAATTAAATGTTTATAAAACAGCTTCCAGATTTCTTTGTAAATTTTCTGTCTATTTTCAGGGAAGCAGATGGCGACGATGATATAATCTTTGAGGATTTCGCTCGTTTGAGGTTGAAAGGCGAAACGGAAGCTTGACCGTGTTCCACTAACACCTTGACACGTATCGATCAAGTAACTTTGACGCCACCATGCCGCACGCAAGACGGAAGTTGCACAATTTCGCCAATGATGCCAATAGTAGCTATATCGCAGCAACAAACTTAAATGATGTTATTGTTTGTTGAAGCGATATCATTGCTATCCCTGAGCGCAAAGTGTCAATACCGATTTTTCCACCGTTTTGACACATTTTAAAATTTATTGCAGGAATAGTTTAATGAAAGAAATAAAAAAAGCAAAAGAGAACACAAAAAAATTGTATAAGAGAGGAATTTTGCAAGCTGCTCACATTTTTTTGTGCAATTTCATATTTTTATGTAAGATAAAAAGATTATGGAAATGCAAATTGAAAATGAGATATTGAGAAAATTCTTCTTCAACAATCGCTATTTTTATCAATTGTCGAAAGTAACGGAAAATACACCGGAAGTTGAAATTTCTCAAGAGCAAACTGTTTAACAATTTTTTCTGTTTCTCTTTAAGCTAGCCTATATATATATATATGTATATTATTTATAGAACACTCTTAACAAATGAAATAATTAAATAATTAATTAAGCCATTTTTATGGCATATGTTCTTTATTTGATCAAAATGATTTTAATTTGTGGGGAAAGTGCGACGGATTTCGTAATTGATATTCACGAATTTTTCATCAATACCGTCGCCATTTTATGCTCTGGCTCTGAAGACTGATTTTAAGAAGAACATCCACGAATCTAGCCAATGACGTATTTATCGTAAAATCCTTAATAAAAGAAAAAATATATATAATCTATATTTGGTATTTTATTTTCCAAAAATATCACAAATTAAATTTATTAATTTAATTAGCTAATTAATTGAGTCTAAGTCGCAGGTTAATTCAGAAAATGTGATTCAATTATTACATAATCCAATTAATTTAACTGAAATAATTTTACAATCAATTACATGCAAGATTGATATAATACATGAATGAGATTTTTTAGATTTATAAGCAACGATATATTGCGGTTCTTTAAACATGGCCAGTACTGTCTTTAAGTTACACGAGCGCACGGGATAAACTTTTGTGAATTATCAGTTTTATTTTAATAATACAGAATAAATATGTATGTTAGAGTACACATTGCAAAGATCGTTTGCGTAAATGGAACGATCGTAAGCGCTTTCTTGTTCCTCGTAAATAAATTTCGCAGAATTAATACTTAATTTATATATAATTAATATAAATATAAAAGAGAATTAATTACAAAACCGTGAAAAAGAAGAGCTGTTTGATATTTATCTCGTTTCTCCGGGATGAAACTATACAATGCTTTATTTGACAACGAGAAAAATTATTTTATAAAAAATCTCCAGTTTCTAGAAAAGCCATTTAAAAGAATTTAATGCAATAATTTAATCGTATACTAAACAAGATGCGTTGAAATACGCAAAAAATGAGGAAAGATGGCGTTTCGAGATGAAGATGTCAATTTATAGATATATTTATGGATAATTTGTAGAACTTGGTAATATTGTAGAATTTGTAATATTAATCTGTTTCATTCTTTTCCGATTTTACAATCAATTAAGTTAAGACGGTGAGCACTATTCAATCGACTTCGATATACATTTCCAAGACTGCTCGAGAATTAAATTTTCGCATCTTGCAATGAAATATCGCATAATCTCGGCTCGCTCGTATTGAATTAGGAGTTTAATATTGATTGCCTAATTAAATATTATACACAAAGACTATAAAATTAAGTTACAAAAATCGTCAGATAAACTTTATCATCCAAAATAAAAATATACAATTGGTTACATGTAATTACATCTCGTTACTTTTATGAGAATTTCTAAAAAAAATAATATTTTTTGTTAATTTTAGAAGTTGCTTTTAACATTACATAATGGCACAGTATATAATTTTTTCCTTTTTCATGTTTTGATGTTGTCTATTTTCTTTTTACTTATCAAATTTACATAAAATCAAGACTATAGAGAAAGAAATCTATTCAAAATATCGACTTAAATTATGTTAAATCTTGCAAAATTTAATACCATAGATTTTCGTTAAATAAGAGATTTATTCTCTGCTCTTAATTTCAAATTACAACAAAATCAAGTCAACAATAAACAGTTCACATTAGCAACGAAGATAATTTGACAGTCATATTAATTAAAACGGAAGTTACAAAAGCTGAACAACATTGTACATGCATGTATGTCGTGTGCGTGTGCGTGTGTGCGTGCGTGCGTGCGTGCGTGCGTGCGTGCGTGCGTGCGTGCGTGCGTGCGTGTGTGTGTAAATATACACATGTAGTAAGTAAAGAAAAAATAGTATTTTTTATCACTTTAGCATTTACAAACTGTATCTAGATGAAATAATCAAGTTATGTGGTCTATGCTTTTTTTCGCACGTTTAATATTAAACGAGCGATGAAAATGCGGTCGTATTTCCTCATACCAAAGCTGATATATTCGTTTCCTAAAAGAAATTGCTTCTCGAGAAAGGTATTAATAGTAATTTGCAAGAATAAAGAAATCTATTTAAATCTTTAATCTAAATTTAAAGAGGGACTTTTCAATTTTTTAAATACATATTCTTTACTAATAAATTACTATATATATATAATAAGTAAAAGATTTATTAATAATTCAACAAACGTTAATTTCTTTTACACAGATATTTTAACAAAAATATTATTAAAACACAAATTATGTCAGAAGTTTTTGTTTTATATTATATTGTAAAAAATGTAATATAAAATAATATCTCCTATAAAATTTTATTCAATTAATCTTCTAAATTAAATTACACTGGTCGGTGTTCATGACCCCTTATTATTTTAAAGACCGTTTTAAGTAATATTTTAAAATGTCATGACTTTGTGATTGACTTATGATATCTTAAGATTATACTTAAGACGGTCTTAAATAAAAAGACTCAACCTATGAACATGAGGCATAATTATTAACTATCTAATTGGCAACTTGCTTAAGAAGTCTCTTAACTTTTTTAACTTATTTTTATAAAACAGGAACGTACATGTTCAACGAACGTAGAGCTATTTAATTAAGGGACGAATTTTCGCGATTGCGGCGAATGTCGAATGTCGACACTTCGATTATTCGTTTTAAGCGATATGTATGAGTGTGTATATGTGCAGGCTTGTATAATGAGAGTATATTTTATATTCGCCCGCGGGCGCGCACATATTTTTTATATGATCGCAAGCGGTAGATCATTAACTTTCTTATTGTGATCGTTTGAATCACAAAAAAGGATCACACCGCACAAAATCGAGGAAGATAAATAAAGTCAATAAGGATGCCGTCTTTGTAATTCTAATATCGAGATTGTTTTCTTGAGATACAAGAAAACTATATCATATACAGAGTGTCACGGAAAAAAACGCAAATCTTATCAACTTAATCATAATATAAAGTTGAAATTGTTTTCTGTGCAAACTAATAATTTTGTCATTTTATATGTAGGTTGCACATTTGATATTATTATAATGAATTACACTTAACTGATATTTAATATTGATATTGTATCGACAAGAGAATTTGGAAATTTCAACTTTAAGAATACAGTTTTAACGCGACATTTTTTGAGACGCTCTGTACTTAACGAATCACTGCGAAAAGAAAGGCAAACGATTACGCTTCTTTGATATAACGCATTTTGCACCTGGAAACTCACATTTCTCTCATTTTATATCTCGTTTAACTAAAAATTGCATCTATTTCTGTGCAAACAGGAAGCTGTTGTGATTGAGCATAGCGGAACGCAGATATGCTATTGTCCGAATGGTTGTATCATGCGATATAGTCAAATTAATTAATTGCTCTGAGCATAATAGTAAATGGCATAAATTAGACACAAAGGAAAGAAGAACAAACAGAAAAGGAAAAGGAAGATAAGATATTATGTAACCTGAGAGTATATCTGTAATTAATGTAATCGGGTTGATGTACAAGTGTTGTGGTTCTCTGCAGCTGTTATACGTGTAAATCATAAAAGAAAAGAAAAAAGAAAGAAAGAAAGAAAGAGAGAACCATTATTGCTAACTTGTACATTGTATTAGGGACGACTTATTTATTGAAGCCGCGCGTTGTTAGTTAGCAAACAAAGTCGTGTGTCGTTCATGATCGTTCGCTGTTCACTCGTGAATAATCCGTTTTGTATGTAAAAGAGATTACAAGAGAATTAATTAAAAAAAAGGAGAGAGGGAGAGAAAGAGAGAAAGAAAGGAAGAAAGATCGCGAGAGTGCGAGAGTGCGTGTGCGTGTGTATAAAGTAAATGGCATAAACTAAATATATATATATATAATGCATAATATATTGTATATGTAAAAATCGTGTATTCTCATATTGTAACTAGCTGTAATAATTTAATAAATCCTGTATATCGAAACTGTATACATACATCTTACATATTTTTTAACATTCACTACGTTGAATTTCACTATTATTAAATGATTTTATTTCTTTTACATTCTTCTGCATCTTCATAAAAATGTTTCTCATTTACTTTAATTCCGTTCATAACAAAAAAAAAACATTTAGTTAGGATAATTGCTGTGAGCTTAGCAACTATTTTATTTTATTAAAATTTAAAGTAATTATTAAGTAATAAGACGATATATTAAACGGATACTTTTGTAAAGTTTTTCGGTTTTTTCAAGACGAGAGAGAGAGAGAGAAAGAGAGAGAGAAAGTTTACTATAACTGTATATGTGATACGTGTCGCAATACTGTTGCTCAAGCTTTCAAAGTTTGAAAAAGTTTCTTAATTGGCAAAATAACGCAATTAACGAAACTTTACTTAGTATCTCTCTTCCTTGACGAAATTAAATACACGTCTTGCTAACGAAAGCGTTCTTCTTTTTCAGCTGCTAAGAAAACTTAGAATAGATAGTTGGTAATACCAAATCCTTGTCTGTATTTATAAAAGTATCTATTCGTATAAAAAGTAAACGATATAAAATACAAAAGAAAACTAATATGCACAGACAAATATTTTAAATAATAGCTAAATGTAAAGTATGTGAAGGATATTTTAATAAATTTGATATCAATAGTTAAATGAAACTGATAAATAAAATCGAGCTGAATCACACGTAATTATATTACGACACGATAAATAATTCTGAAGTAATTCAAACAATTACCACAATTTTAACTTCGAAACTAACTCGAGCACGAAGAATGAGGATATTCGAATCTCTGCCGCGGTTTGAAGTAATTTGCCAACCGCGATGCGGGAAGGAGGTTGGAGCTGAACCAAGGATGAATTCGCTATTTCATTCATGTAGAAACTTTATTCAAATTCAGTCATCTTCCGTCGCAAATTCGAGTCATAAATTGCGCGGCATAAAGCGGAAAAACGAAGAAACAAAAGAAGAAGAAAAAACGAGTGCGAGGACACATTTACAACACGGAGGAGACCCGGAAGAATTACGTGGCAGAAAGGAAGAAATCGGCGTCGTAAAGAAATAAGGGGAAGTTCGTGATAATGGGAAGGAAAAGAGAGGACACGGGGGAGAAAAACGGAAACGAAAGAAAAATGAAAAAAAAAGCGCGGCGGAAGGGAGAGATACGGGAAGGGAAGTACCGGGTGGCGCGCAAATTTTTAGCGCTTCTCCATCTCGGTTTCCATCCTGCTCGTCTCCTTTCATCTCTCACCACGCAGTCTCCGTAGCTTCCTTTCCAGTATGATCCGCGCGGTCCGAGCGCGAGCATCGTGTATTCTAGACTGTTATTTCGTTGTC